CAAAATAAGAATAGTTATTTTTACTTTCTCTCGAATTCTCTTATTCTCCTCTTCTTTCGTTCGATCCACGAAATCTAAATGCTATAAATTTGATTTAAGTTCTGAGTCAAATTGCTCTGAGTTTGTTCTCTTTTTCTCTAATTTCAAATTTGTGTATTGCGATCATGATTAACTTTTTTGTGGTCCAAATTAAGATTTAATTGATATTCTAATTTGATAATTAATGCGGGTTAGATTAAATGATAATTTGATTTAATCCGTAATATAGTTCAATTAGGTTATTTAATTGAATTAATAATTGAATTGGGTAAATATTCAAAATTTTATATACTATGATAATCAGAGTTACATGCATTTGGTATTCTATGGATAATATTTCTTAATTTATTTGCAATTTAATTTAATTAATTTGCAGTTTTCAAATCCTCCAAAATCTTACTTTCATTCTTTAAAAAAAAAATTGAATTTAACATAATATGAACTCATATTTATGTTTTATTTGATGTTTTTGATAACACTAAAACTACTTTTGGCCAAAAGTGGATTTAACTTGATTTTAAACTAAATTTAAATTTTAAAATTGGTTTTAAACCAATTTTTATAAAATAAAATAAAATAGTTTAAAATTCAATCTATATAAATGAATTTTAAATAGATTTAAATTAATTTTGTGCAAATTTAATTCATGTCCACCTTAGATAGAATTATTTTTCTACTTTTTTGGTGTTCAAGTAACTTGCAAAGCATGCATTGGAGGTTGTTATTGCAATAGCTAATTCACAAAATGACTTTGATATATATTAGTACATGATCCTTAAAAACACATTGGTGTTTTGCCCTCTTAAGTGGACGAATGAGAATTGTCTATGTTTTGTAAAAATCTTTTAATATAAAATAGTCTTTAATTTTTTTTTAATACAAGAAGGTCCTTGATAATCTTCTATATCTTGTTAATGATTTTTCCTTTTCATCTCGATTTAATTAGCAATAAAGCCATGAATTCACATTAAAGCTCTTATACCCTTTTAATATCATTCATTATCTTTTTAATAAACAACCTTTGCTCAAACTGCATCATTGAATTATCCACATTAAATTTTTTTCATTGGTTCTATCAATTAAGCCACCACAATTAACAGAATTGAAACTATAGATGAATCTACGTCCATTCTCCTGGATACAGTCATCAAAATTTGAATTAACTATGACAAGATATTTGGATTTCAGGGAATTTGGATAAACTCCATTGAAATACTACTCTATAAACATGAAAAAATAATCTCAGAAAGCTTTTCGTTGGTCATAAAGAAAAGAAAAATTAAAGAAATAAGAATAGAATAATTTTCTAATTATTTTGTTGAGGGTAAAAATATAATGATATCACAGATCATATATGGTGCGATTTGTTACAAAGCAATAAATTAGGAAAATCAAATTTTGATATGTGCAGTCATTTTAGCGTCATCTCATCATTTCATAATAGAATTTGCTACCCAACAAAAGAAAAAAGCATATGCTAACAATAAAAATTTAAACAGCTTACTATTGTCACATCAATGACGCTTACACAGTTATTTGATTAACTACATTCTTACTCACAATATATATATATATATATATATATATATATATATATATATATATATATATATATATATATCATAGCATGTTCTTATAATAAGAAGCAAACAATCATCATGAATTTGCATCAAAATTGACATTCTTGTAGATAAAAGCATCTTCAACACCAATAATTATGTCACCTTGTTGCCTAAATTGTGCCATTTGTAAATCGATTCAACCATACTCAAGAGCAATTTTGCCTTGCCATGAAGATAATCTTGTGCAATGAACTTTTGGATTGCATCAACAACAAGATTCACGATTTGGATGTAAGAATCAACAAAGAGAACTCCATTGGATCACCATTATGGAGCATATAAAGAATCGTGTGTTTTCACATAAGTGTTCTTAATGATCTTCTTGAGTGCATGAACCACGACTTGATTCAGAGTATAGACTTGAGCTTTCTTATGTCATTAAAATGTAAGTTTTTGCTTTGTTTATTATTCTTCATGTTTATAATAAAACATCTCCATTGGAATGTAAACTTTTCTTTTTTTCTTACTAATGGTTGATGTTAGAAAGATTATTTTGTAATAAAAAATTATAATAAAAATAATATTAAGATTAAACCCTTCTTTTGGTTGCAAAAATAGTAAGCATCAGATATTTTAGTCTCTGAAATTTAAAAAATATTATGTTAGTCCCTTACTTTCATCTCTATAAGACATTTAAGTCTATAGATTCAGACATTGTTAATAAACAGTAACATAATATTGACATGTCACGTTAAGTGACATATGTAATTGATTACGTGACAAAAATAACATCATATGTGTTATGGTGTATGCTTTCATTTCATTTTAGTTTTGAGATTATCAGTGACATTTTAGTCTTTGGTTCTTAAAACTTTTCATCTACTCATCCTTCTTTTTCTTAATTCTCCATTACCAAAATCTACCATCATTGGCTACCATTTACGTTATTCGTTTAACAACCCAAGTTTATGTTTGCTCTGAATTTGGACCTTGTCGTTCCTTCAAAACCTCCCAAACTATTATTTGAAGATAATTTCTAAGCTTATAGAGTCAAATGATTGACAACATCGTCAACATCAAAGATTAAAGAAGATGAAAAAATGTATATCAATGCATTGGTTTAAATTATAACACTCATGGAAGTAACATTTGCATAGGGATTAGTTAATAACCGGTAAAGTAAAATCATAATTTCATACTACCACCATTTGAGGCAAACAAAAATGCAACTTGGAATAGACAAATTTAAGAGCGCTTTCACCCCTTGAAGCAACCATTAAAGGAAATATTTGACCATGTTTTTTATGTATACCCCATAATCCATTTATAAATGTCAATGAAACCACGAGGTTGAAATTTGTCCAAACAATATCTACAATAATGCTTCTACTACAAACAAATAACTCAAATGGAAATGGTAGCAAGCAAAGGTAATTTCCAGAATAATTTATGTAAACTATATCTATTTATCACCGATACCTCCTTACATGTTCAAGCATCGAAGAATCTACTAAAAAAATTATATAATTTGAATATATATTTTTTACATTTTTTATTAAAATGTAATTTTTTTATATATAAACTATTATTGTTAAGTTTTTTAATTAATATAATTTATTAAAATAATATTAAGTATTAATTTTTTATTGGACTAAAGTAACTAAAAGATTAAAAACAATAATTCATAAAAACATAAGAATTATATGTTAACAATTTTTTTAAAAGATTGGACACTTAATCATATATATATATATATATATATATATATATTTACCACAATTTTTTCTTAATTTTTGATGTATTAATCTTAAAATAATTTTGTAAATAAATATTTTAAATTTAATTAATTTTCAAATGTAAATAACTTTTCCTTAAAATTAAATTATTACTAGAGAAAATTTTTAATCATTTAGGTAGCGTGGCTTTATCTAGACCAAATGGGATGGTAACGGTTAAAACTCCATCTAAGTATTACTTGTTCCCTTGACATCTAGAGACAATGATGGCTCACTCTTGCTTTGATTAGTCAAGGTATGCTTTAATCGGTGATGGACCAATGGCTCGTTACAAGTTAAATGTGTGTAGGATTTTAATTTTGGCGTTTCAACTTCTTTCATTGTTTTGATACGTTCAACTCCTTTCATTTTATTTTGTTCTAGTGCGTCTCTTTTAATGTTCAATGTACTTGGTAACGTGTACTTATTAGATCTAACTTAATTGCTTTCTGCATTTATATTTTTCTCTTGTCGCTCTTTCTTTGTAAGTTATAGTGAATCTTTGTTAAATTTAATCTTGTCCTTTTGTGTTGTTTCACTCTAGACCAAAACAAAAGACATAATTGGGTAAATTGACTACTAGACAAACTAAATTTACACTAACGCTTTTAGTTTTGATTAGTCTCATTAAAGATGAATTGACTTTATGATTAAGGATGTGTTTTGTATGTTCAATTTTTAACTTTCTTTTTATTAATTGTTCAATTTTTAACAAAACATAATTGTGGTTCTTTTCAAACTTTTTAACAATGTTCAGACTACTAATAAATAGTGATATTCATAACTAATAATATCCAATTATAAAAATTAAATTGAAACTTTTGAAATCATGAATTCTAAATTCGAAACTTGATATTTTTTTTATTGAATTGAGTTAAATTTTAAACATAATATTGGAAAGCAAACTAATCTAAATCAAACATTATATATATATATATATATATATATATATATATATAGTTTTTTTCATAAAATTATTATTTCAACCATTGTGTAAGTAGATATTTATAAAGTCTATATACAAATTTATTTTATCCTTATCTTATTGTCTATATTATGTCATATTATATATATACATATATATATTTAATTCAAAATTAGTGTAATTTTTATTTCTTATTTTTTAGTATATTGCTTTAAATATATATTTATGTATAAATAATATTTCATTGAATCAAATATTCAATATTTTAAAGTTTATTTATTATTTTTTAAATAATAAAATAAAGAATAAAAGATAAAAAAAACCAGTTAATTTTGTATTGAATTAAATCTAAAATTAAAAATTAAATAATAAAATAAAAACAATAAAATAAGATGAAATGACTTTTTTGCCCCTTAAACCATTCCAATCAAGTTCATAAACATTGCTACTAAATCACATTTACTGAGTTGGTAGTTTTATATTTAGTAATGAATGCAAATAATCCCCGACACATATTTTTACATTTTCTCAAAAGAACACGACAGTCTGAAAGAATTTGATTTCCTACATTAAGGTTTTAAAGAAAAAAAAGGATAATGAGAGAGGAAAGCGGAATATTAGAAATAAAATTGCATTTTGCAGTTACACAAACGAAGGCGGTACACACTCTCCAAATCCAAAATGTCACGACGCGTTTAGAATAGAAAGGAAAGAATAGATTGGAAAAACAGAAAAGGCAAATTCAACACAGATATTTGCTGAGCAAATAGAAGCGAAGCTTAATTTCTTTCTCACACAGATTTGACATGGCAAAATCACACGTTCCACTCTAGGGTTTCTCTCTCCACGCTCTGTTCGTCATTCACTCGTGAGTCTTCTCCAACCTCACTCTCTCTGTTACGCTTCTATCCTTCCTTGTCTTATCTAGGGTTTCCTATGTCTTCTGTAATTTCAGTTTGGGTGGATCGTTGTTTTTAAACCTAAATCTGTAAGTTTTTTCATTGGTTTTCTAGCTCGTGTGCTTGAATTTGAATGTGATGGAGATCCGCATATGTTTTGATTTTTTTTTATACGTAAGGATTAATAGTGGTTATCAGTGTCATTTATGTGGAAAACTACTGATAAGTAGTGACTGAACATTTTTCCCTGTGACAATGCTGAAACGGAACTTTGGAGATATGAGAATGAGGAGACGTTAAGGTTGCGGTGGCAGCTAATTCCTTAAAGCTTCTCTTTTTCTGATTGCTGTTGCTGTGCTTTGTTTTAGACTAACAATGATTAAGAAATAAGAAATCACTTCCCATCATCATTTTTTCTTGTGTTGGGATATCTCCTTGGCTGTTGTCTGTTCTGTTTCATGGACAGAAACGGCCTTTACTATGCTTAATTTTGGATAGGATTTGCTTGTATTTAGCATAGGGCTTTCAACTATGGGATTTGATCATGATATTTATTTTGTATTTTAGCCTTGCCTTGTGTGAAATTTGCTTTCTTATGCTACAATTGCCCAAAAGTTATTTAATTGAAATTGATGGAAGGAAACTTATTTGGTCTCTCCTACTTGTTGACCGTGTCATTGTGTCTTTAGACTATTTTTTGTTTGATCCCAAAAGTAGGAGTTGTTCTTTAGGTTTTCACCCATAGAACTAGCTGGACCAAGATCCAAGACATTAGGTAGTTGCGTAGTTGGGTTGGGTTGGCAGTCTCCTTTGTGCTTTTGTTCTATGTATCTCAGTAAGAGTACATTATTCCAAGTGCTAATATTAGATACAATTTTTCTGCAGTAATTTCATGTGATCAATGCGTGGAGGTGTTACCAAGTTCAGTCAAAGTAGCGGGTGTAAATATGTTTCCAATGGCATTTGATCCTTCCACAAGAGCAATATGGATATATAACACACTAATCAATTCAATATTGGATAGTTTTGGAGTGGAGGAATTTTCAATATATTCTGAGATAGCGGAATAAACCATTGGCTAGTTCAAGAATGGGAAAGGATGTGTCACCTTATGTATTAAGTTTCACAAGATACACTAGTGCCCAATATCCATCAACCACAAGCATTGAAGAAAATCAATGCAATGCACATTATAGCTTGATCTACTTTTTGGGTGGCCAATTGTTGTGCCTTTTGAAAAGCTTATGAGATGCACTGAATCCTATAAGTGTTGTAAATGTGTAATGACACTGTACAAGTTCCATCTTCATGGTTTTTGGAGAATATAATAGGCTCTGGAAGATTCTTTTAAAGATCTAGAATCTTGTATTTGTCTGTTTTAAGATTAAAGTCATCTTTGTTATCTTCTTGTTGAAATAAACTTGAAATCAATTTTTTGAGGCCTTGGCATTTGCTTTTTTTAATTATTGAGCCAAGTAGTTATGGATGACCAGAAGAGTCTGAATCTGATTTGAGACTTGCTGGCTGGTGGCATTGCTAAAAGGTTAATGCATCATTAAGAAATGCTTAGGCTGTGTCTGGTGTATCACACAAGTAAGACTTGATCATATAAGCAAACAATATAAAGCCTTAATAGGTGTTTGGCAGATCCACATGATCGTAAGTTGGATATGGTCAATTTTTTTTTTGTCCCAATGCAACCATATAAATGTATCCTCGCCTTAGGCCTTGATATGACCCTATAGGATATTTGTTCAAACTCGACTTGTCACTCATGCCTTCAAGCATCACTATCACCACGGCTGTTGCTTTCTGACTGACCTCCACTCTCATTGCTATGCTCTCTAAATTTTGTTTCCTTGTTAATTTGGTTTCATCATGGAATGCTTACGTCTCCAAATCCCCCCTACTGGCAGTTATAATGTTCTTCTTTAATTATGTTTTTAACTCTTTATACCTCAGCACAGATTAGTTTTCATTGGATTGAGAAAATGAAGAATTGGGAAATGGGGCAAATTTATATAGCCATACTTTGAGCTGTATTACGGGTCATGCATAACTGATTTTTTAATTGATTTTTCCTCCAAGGATGAAGGCTAGCAGCCTTCTTCCCTGGAAGTAGGATTTCTTATTTAACGGAAGAAAGTTCCCCCACCCATCACCCCCCCAATTAATATTTTTCTGTCACAAGTTAGTTTTAATTTAATATTATAAATATCTTTGTATACATATTTAATATAGTTGGAAATTACATAAATAATCATTATCCCGCTTACCAAGTAGCCTAGAATCTAGATGCATTGTAAAATAGGAAATAGGTTTAGCATTATTAACCCATTGTTCTTTCTTTTGTAAATTGTTCTCTGTATTTTTACCTATGTAATTACCATTTACAAAGGTCTGGACTGTGTTGGCATTACAATTGCATGAAAATAATGCCTGATTCTCATATGAAATTGTAATTGAAAAAAGTTAGTTGGGATGGAGTTTTCCTCTTAATTTAAGGAAATATGCATTGATTTATCCTCTCAAAAAGATTTGTACTAACATTCTACTATATCATCTGAAAAGCAGCTAGAAAATCCCATGGCTGTTCCTTAGGTTCATTCGTCCAATCTGTTTTATACTTTAGGGGGCCTTGGCCCAATGCCTACATCATTAGAAAATAGTGTTATCTATTGCTTTTATGCAGAATCAGAGAGAAAGAACATTAAAGCAACCTTAGGAGAATTTCCTAATCTGAGTTGTATCAAGTTGATTTTATTTTATGATGAGAGTTTGAATAACAACTGAAAAATGTTGGTACAGTCAATTACATCCATATGAAATGCTAAAATTTTTGGCCAGTGGTTTCTGCCTGTAAAACTTCTTCAGGATAGATTGTTTTCTTTACTTGTTTTCTTCACATGTTTTTTTATTGATGCTTCTTATGTCTCCTTTTTCCTTATTTTCACTGTTAAGAGGATTTTCAACTCTCCTATTTTATATTCTTCTCTATTAATTAATTTATTTCTGTTGAAAAATGGTCACTTATACATGTCTTGACTCTTGAGTGGTTGGTCTTATCTTGGATTAGGGTCTGTTATCAAACCTTTGCAGTTTTGGTGGAACTACCTCCACTGATACCTTTTGTTTTTGTTTTTGTTTCTTCTTTGGGTCTGGGGAGGTCCACCACTTGGATGGGGCCTAAGTGATACCCCATTAAGGTGGTAGGGGAGAGGGAAGAGTTTTGAAGGTACACTGGGAGGGGGTTGAATCTGTTCTAATGAGCACACTGGTACATTATATGCCCTGCTAACGCTGTTTAACTTTTTACTTCTTAAGTACTGGATAAGTCTTTTATTTCCTTTATAATATGCTGTTTTTGTCTACCACAATATTGTAGTTCTTTAACGAAGAAAAATAGTAGAGGATAGATTTAGGTTTCTGGTTATTTATTTGTTTTAGTTATTTCAGAGCACACTGCATTATTCTAAGGGAAGAAGCGTTACAGTTTTGGCAAGTGAGATGAGTGGAAGTGGCAGAAAGCGCTCTACAAAGTGGGATTTGAGAGATGATCCTGAGTTTGTACTTGATAGTAAGCAATTGCGGGCTGGGTGGTCCTCTGCAGATGTTGCTGGTGGCAATAGTTCAAAGTGGTCTTATTTGGAAGGCAGTGATAAATCAAAGCCTGGTATGGGATTTTCATCTAATGAACCTTTTCCTGGAGGCAGGGGGTCAAATAAGGGTGATATTATGAATAAAGACCATACATTTTTGGATGCTACGATGGAATGGGATGCAGATGAAAATTATAGAAAGAAAATGTCTCCTGGGTTTGAGGAATGGAAAAATAAGAGACATAGTCAATCCCCCAAAAATGGTTGGAGCAGGTCAGTGAGGTTTGTTTCTCTACTCAATGTGTCTCTGCTGATCCTATTTCCTGAATATTGATTGAAACTTTATATTTAAATGTTCGACTGATGGTTTGTTGCAAGCATGACTGTAAATAAACTTGGTTGTGTGTTTTAAAAAGTCCTAAAATATATACTTCTCTTGTCCTCTGAAGCACTTACACTTTAACGGAGAAGCTGTGTACACTACTACACACAGGAGAATGCTGACACCTCTGAGCCTTCATCTGTATTGTTGGTACTTGGGATCTAAAATAACTAATTCACTACTTAGATACTTTACCCGTTCAAAGACATTTTAAACATATCTTGAAGACTTCAATTTTTTCTGCATATACTTTATGTTTTCTATGGTTGCACACATGCACACACATACACACTGTTGAAAGCAATCATCACCACTGGATACTGCATGATTGATCATATGATAGACATGTGACATCTAGTTTATCTTAATCTTGACTGTTTATGCAACATATGGCAGAGCTTTTGTCCTTAAAGCACTCTGGGATATTTCTTAGTAAGATGTGTTTATGCCATTTTATGTTCCTTGGTTTCAGTTGATGCACCCCATGTTTGTATTTATGGAAGTGCTTGTTTCTTATTGGGTATTTGCTTTATTTTCCAGCTCATCCTAGAACTTTTTGACTGCTTTCTGTTTTAGATCTTTTGACAAAAAAAGGTAGTCTTTATTTTCCAATTGTCATCCATTTGCTTAATAAAATTTATTTTAAGATATCAGTGATAATATTATGGTCATTTTTGTGGTGGTGCATAATATTTCTAGATCCAGTTGGTTTTGTTAATTATCTACCTTTCTTTGGATTATGTCATTTCCAAGAAGTCGGAGCAGGAGCCCTCCTCATGGTTTTAGGTGGGATTCTGGAGTCAATGAGAAAAATAGGATGAGAGCTGGAGTATCAACACAACCATGTAGAGATTTTGCTGCTGGTAAATGCAGGAGAGGTAGCCATTGCCATTTTCTTCATCATGATAATAAAAATCACGAGGATAGTTGGGAAAATAAGTGCAGGGAAGATGGGGCTCCCAGATATTCTGCACCGCATGAGAGTAGAGACCATTCTCATAAGAGTGGTAGATCTAATGAAACTTGTATTAACTATGCAAAAGGTAGGTGTAGAATGGGAGCATCATGTAAGTTTGTGCATCATAACAATTCTGATGGACACGGTAAAGTTTCTATGGATGAATTAACTAGAGAAAGGGAAGTTGATAGAAGGCACAGAGATAGTTCTTTTGAGCAGGGTGGTGGGCATGGGCCAAACCGTAGTGGTGAAACACTCTGCAAATATTTTGCAAATGGAAATTGTCGTAATGGTAAATATTGTAGATTTTCTCATGATAAGCAAGCATGTACAAGCCCTAATAGAAGAGTAAGAGATGATAGGTGGCCAGGCAATCCAGGAGGAGATAATCAGATGCTGGATAGGCCAAAATTGAGTGACTCATTAAGTCCTCATAGAAGGCTAAGAGATGATAGGTGGGATTCAGATGGTAAAGCTGATGCAGATAAAGTTTTGGACGGTCCAAAGCGGACTGATACAGTTGCTGTCCCTGATACAGTAAAGCTTGTTGATGACAAAAGTGGAGGTGTGGGTACCACAGAGCCAGGATTTACTGCTTGGCCCCCGAGGGATGGATGGGGTCATAGCTTGGATAAGAGCAAAGTGCGTGGTGAACCACCATTTTCAAGTGATAAGAAGGAAGGTGACAGTTGGATAGCTGGAAGTACTGGTGCCAACAAGCATAGTTTCCATACAACAGGTACAGACATTTGGCTTGGTGATGCAAAAATGTCTCCGGATTGGGATTACAGGGTGGGATCTTCCAGCCGTATTGAAAAAGGTCATGAACAAAATAAGCATGGGATAACACAAAGTGGTATGTATTTAGCTGCCTCTGAACATGACAGAACTCAAATTGCCCCAGGTAATCATCTGTTTGACGTTCCTTTGATTGTGCATTCCTTGTAAAATGAAAAATCTCTTACACTGCAATTGCAATCCCAACAATTTAAATTGGATGATGTTATTTCATTGACATGTGATAAGTGTGAAACAAATCTATTGATTCACACACAGACCTGAACTTTTCTATTGATGTTTCTTTCAGGACAAGGCTTTAATCAGAATGCCCAGAGTTTAAATCCTCTGCATTCTTCAAGCAGCCAAGCAATTGCTCAAAGTCATGTGGCAGCTTCCATTCTTCCATCAAGAGGAGGAATTGTTGATGGTATGCAGAACCAACAAGTCTCTACTGAGAAAAAGTACATTGCTGAATCCAATATCATGGATGCAGGCTTATCACAAGTTAGTTCAAAAAATCCTCCTCCAACTCAGAACGTGGTAGGCAAAGAACAGCTTGCTCAGCTTACCAATCTCACAGCCTCTCTGGCTCATATCCTTGGGACAGGTCAGCAGCTGCCACAACTTTATTCTGCCTTGATATCTCATGATGCAAAGGGCACTCCCTCCCTAGCAAAAACTGAAGTGCCTGCTATGTCTGTTTCCAATACATTAATCAAGCCAGATCCTGCTGTTGGACTCCCGGAGCAGTATGATCCAATGTTTGACAGTATTGAGCAAAAGAGTGCTGTTGCAAGTGGGGTGCCCCCAGTCATTCCTTCAAGAAAAATTGCAGAAGATGAAGTAGAAATTCCGTCAAAGTTGTCTAACTCAGAGAAACAAAATTGTGGTGATTCTTTGAAGGCTGCTTGCTCAGAAGAACTTGTCAAGAGTGATCATGTAATCCAGTTGCAGCTGGGTCAAAACACTGAGGTTAATAAGGATAACAAGGAAGTGGTAGCCGAGGAAAGGAAAAATTCTCAGGATGATCATAAAAATAGTCCTTTGGAAAACATGGACCCAAATGATGGTCCTGATGAGGCCAAGAAAACTAAAGACATGAAGGGGATTCGTGCATTTAAATTTGCGTTGGTTGAATTTGTTAAGGAGCTTCTGAAACCAACATGGAAAGATGGTCGAATTACCAAAGAAGATTATAAAACAATTGTGAAAAAAGTTGTTGATAAAGTAACTGGTACCATGCAGGGGACCCATATTCCTCACACACAAGAGAAAATTGACCAGTATTTGTCATTTTCAAAACCAAAGCTTAACAAACTTGTACAGGTTAGCTTACCCCAAGATTATATCTGTAGCTAAATTTTATCATTATCGATAATGTCTAAAAATAATAAACTTAAAAGTATTCTGGGGACTTTTTTTGTTGAACCTTTTCTTTCAAAGCTAAAAAATATACCCTATTTCTTAATTTTTTTTATATCATAATTTAGTTATACAAAAATTTTCCAACTTGCCTTACAATTCAACTCTTTCTGTTTGCAGGCATATGTGGAAAAGGTTCAGAAGGCTTAGTGCATTTGTAGAAATTTGACTGCCAACTCTATCGGTTATATTTTACTCGGCATTGTTCTCTTCAATATGTACTCTGCTTCTTTACCTCTGGATTTGTCTTTCCCTTGACCTCGGGTACTTCAGTTATTTTACAGCTCTTGCGTACCTACGATATTGGAGCTTTTCTTTAGGCCTTTTATTATTTTTTCCGTCGTTTCGTCGGGGAAAAAATTATTGGGTGTTGATGCCATTGGTCAATAGTTCGCAACACCAATGTTAGGCAGTTGTTATGGGATTTGTTTTATTTTTCTAGTTTATTGTAATCATAGGAGGCTATTTCTTTTTCATAACTGAGCCACGGAACCGAAAGATGGTGGAGTTCAATGCCTGATTGTTTCGAACTGAACGGACGAGGTGTCAATTGTCGACATTTTGCACTAGAAATTTCTATGCAGTTTGCGTCTATGTATGCTACTAGTCATTCTACTCAAAATATAGAGAATAATGAGGCAGTCTGAAATTTCGTCAGAATAAATTGACATTTTTAGGGTCACGTTTGATTTTCCTTTTAAAAATAATTTTCTATTTTTAAAAATAAAATAAATATAAATTTATATTTTATTTTATTTTTAAAAATAATTTTATTTTTGAAATGAGAAAATTATTTTTAGAAAAGAAATCAAACATATTTTTAATAATTCTTAAATTAATATATGTATTTGGTTATCGTAGGTGTCACCTTTTTTTTTTTTAATGTAGTACTTCTACCTAAACTTGTAATCGTTTTCCTAGTAGGTCCTCGATGTTACTGATTGTCATGAAGTCTTTTTTTTTTTGTCCAATCATAACGCCGTTTGGATAGGGGAAACATGACAAATAGAGGGGAACGTGGCATTGATTAATTTGGAGGTGACATTATACTCATCTCTAACTTGGCTTGTGAGACCCGATTGAACCCTGGCTTCAAAGGTGGGTAGAGTTGTAGTTCCCACCTCTATCTGAAAGCATAAATGGTGGGGGAGATGGAATCAGAATAAAATAATGTTGCACTAATTTTGCAGGCAGCATGGAGTTGTGACTTTTTTAGTGATTGGATGAATTTGTGTCTACAAGACAACTCTTTGATACCCGAATCCGCAGGAAAAACTCTTCCTCTACCCTTTAGATTTAAGTCCTCTAGCTAATGTAGTATGCCATTTTTCATGTCCTATTACTTCTTTGTCAAGTCTCTACTTTAACCTTGGACATTTTGTTTCCCTTTGCCCTAATGCTTTTCCACCAGCATTTATTCCTTGTGAAGCTTGACATAATATAAGCACAACAAATCCACTCAGACAGAGATAATAGGTTGTTCTTTAGCTTCCGAAATCTTATAACTAAACTCTTTTAAAATGTTGTTCATCAGCATGTTACATTTTAAATACTCATTATGCTCAACTCACATTGATGGCTGAATTTATAGTAACCAGTCACGTGCTTTTGTAGATACTTCAACGCTCTGAATTTTGAGTCTGTAAGGATTTTAGTAGAGTTTCAGTAAGAGTGTAAAGAACGTAGTTGAGGCTTTAAGGTCCTTTTCTTTATATAGACATGAGCTTCCTTTGACGCTGACGTCAAATGATTAGCTGATGTCATTTGAAATGAACTATTTGTTGAAGCCTTACTTACCTGAGAGTTACGTAGATAAGTCCTTTCTTAGTTAAGGATTTGGTACGTTATTCACGTCGACTAATGAGACATGAGGTGGCTTTGTTTGAGATCTAGTGTGTCAAGTGCCGTATCTACTACCACTTCTGATGGTGATGGTGACAATTCTGAGGTGGCCTTATCTAAGATTTGATGTATTCAAGTTGTGTTGGACGTCCAAAATCTAGTACTAGGTCTGATGATAATGGTGGTTTTGATTGTTTGATTATGTTTAATTATGTTGATCTTGAATAAATATATAAATATAAATAATCAAATCTCTTAAGTACCTTCTTTTGGTATGACATGAACCCTCTCCACACATGCCATAATAAGAGGATAATAATAATCCTTGGGGTCGCATGCAAAAGCAATAAATAAGATGTCCTTAAATCCTGTTTTCAAGAAACGACCATCTAAGCTTATTATAAGCCTACAAGCATCTAAAAAAAATCAGTTTTTTACTCCTTCTAAACACATATTTTAAGAAAGACTAGATTTTCTTTACCAAGTTGAGTATCAGTCAACAGTATCATACTAGATTCACGGTTACTCCTTATCTCTTCACAATAACCTCACAATTTACTATATTTTGATACAAAAATTTCTATCTAACTTCTCCTTAGCTAACTTCTTTGCTTAGCATGTCTTTGTAACATAAGCATCATATTACTTTTTCTTTAATGCTTTTAGCTACCTCAATGAGACATTTTTGTTAGTCTTAATTACCTTAACTAACTTATCTACTACTACCTTCGTCTCTAAAAAATAGTCATTTAAAGTTATGGTATAAGAATTAAGAAATCTATTTAATTATCTTATTTTTATTAAAAAGTATTATGGAATTTCTTATTATACCAAATTTGGAATTTTTTTTTATGTAATAAATGAATAGATAAAGAAAATAGAAAATAAGTATTGAGATAATAATTATCTTAAGTGTAAAATTAGAAGAAAAAAATCTTTAAAATTATAAAATAACTATTATTTTGAGAAAAATAAAATTAGTTAAAGAGACTATTTTTTAAAGACTGAGTATCAATTTGCTTGTAACCATTGTACCTTTACATATCTTTGAACATGTATGGCTGTTCAACTTATATGTCATTAAACCTTCCATTTTACTAACAAAAACAATCTGGTAACATCTGGTCCATATTGGATTGTTGGGATGGAAATTTTCTAATAAATGATATTTTAAGAGATGGTGAAGTTTTTGTAAAAAATATTTTGACATCTGAGTTAGAGGAAGTTACTCATAGTTAGGGTAGGATATGCCATACTTGAGTTATAAAAATTCTTTCATTGAATATGAGTTGTTTAGGAATTTATTAGCATGGATGTGCATCTAATACAATCATGCTTGAGGTGTCAACAAAAAACTGCCATTTGTCAAAGGCATTAAAACATGGTGATACGACTTAGCTATACGACGATTGGATTACCTTAGACATGGTTGAAATAACTAGTAATTCAAATTAAGATTTATTCAAAAATACATAAAGTGACCGTTGTATAACTGCAGTAGACAGACAGCAGTTTTAAGTTGATGACGAAATTTCTGATTATTTGACCGCGACTCTATGAAAACCACACATCAACATCATTCTCTACACAACAAAATACATTGTACCTTCTTGTTCGAAAATTTTCTGCTAAAATAGAAGTATTGGAGAGCAACTAAAAGCTTTCTAAATGAAATATTGTGTGCAAGTTATGGAAGAAGAAAAAGACTATTTTGGCCATTTTATTGGGAGCAAGTTTGTAGCATTAGCATTAGGAAGCAAGGCATTTCTATCCATGAACCAAGGCAAACAGACGCATAAGTCCCCTCATTACTATAAACAAATTCCTAAAATTAATCTCAACCCACCATGACCCGTCTCAGAAAACCCACTAAACCCATCACCATCTTCCATCTCTCTATCTCCAAATTCATCCTCATCTTTCTCTTCCTCTCAATGGCATTCTTTTTCCTCTTCATTCTCTTCTTCTTCTTCCCTAGCCACTCTCACTCCTCCTCCGTACAAATCCAACAAGCCTGCAAGGCTACACGCTTCCCTCAACAATGCCACACCTCCCTCAACAACCTCCCACCCCACCCCACCCCGCTCCAAACAATCCAATCCGCCATTGAAATTTCCTCCTCCAACCTCAACACCGCGCGATCTAAGCTCAACTCCATCGTAGACGCCTCCGCACCCAATCACACCCGCACCACCGTCGCCAACACCTGCCTCCGGGTCCTCCGATACTCCCACCACCGCACCTCCCTCGCCGCCCACGCGCTCCCTCGTGGAATGACCAAAGACGCTCGCGCCTGGATGAGCGCCGCCTTGGCCTACCAGTACAATTGCTGGTCTGGTCTCAAATACATCAACGACACCGCATTGGTAGCCGAAACGATGTCGTTTCTCGAAACCCTCACAGCACTCTCCAGCAACGCCCTCAGCATGATGGTTTCCTACGACCTCTTCGGAAACGACACCGCTTCGTGGAGGCCGCCCCTAACGGAGCGTGACGGCTTCTGGGAACCGTCAGGGTCGGACCTAGTCGGGTCGGGACCCGCTTTACCCTCGACATTGACACCGGACGTTACGGTGTGTAAGGACGGGGGATGTTATAAGACGGTGCAGGAAGCCGTTAACGCGGCGCCTGATAACGGGGAACGGAGGTTTGTGATACACATAAAGGAAGGTGTTTATGAGGAGAGGGTTAGGGTTCCGTTACGGAAGAGGAATGTGGTGTTCTTGGGCGATGGCATGGGGAAGACCGTGATTACGGGATCTGCTAACGTTGGTTTGCAGCCCGGCATGACAACCTACGACTCAGCCACCGTAGGTGAGATTTTGGGTTTGTTTTGTTAAGGTTTTCCTGTTTTCTTTATTTATTTATTATTTAATTTCCCTGATTCGTTGAAGATCACTATTTTTATTTTAATCAAATGTTGACTTATATTTGATAATGGTTAGAAATTGTGTTGCTAGAATAATGAGCTAATGCGTTTAGTTGTTTATATAGCATTAGGAAGTGTCAAAATAAAAAAAAATATTGCAAGCCTTTTTTTTATGATTTGTGTATGTTAAGTAGAAGGATATGAATATGAGACTAATTATTGAGTTGTTTTGGGAATGGTCAGTGAAAAAGTATGGCAAATTGTGTTGATTTTGTTTAGGACTATGAAGACATTGACATGGGTAGAGCTTAGTTGTGTTCTTAATTATTTGACTTGGCAGGGGTTGCTGGGGATGGATTCATGGCGAAGGATCTCACAATCCAGAACACGGCTGGTCCTAATGCTCACCAAGCTGTGGCCTTCAGATCAGACAGTGATCTTTCTATCATTGAGAACTGTGAATTCATAGGCAATCAAGATACTCTTTATACCCATTCCCTGCGCCAATTCTATAAATCTTGCCGTATCCTTGGTAACGTGGACTTCATCTTTGGGAACTCAGCTTCGATCTTCCAAGACTGCAAAATCCTTGTCCGGCCCCGGCAAGTCAGGCCAAAGAAGGGGGAGAACAATGCCATTACTGCCCAAGGCAGGACAGACCCTGCTCAGTCGACGGGCTTTGTTTTCCAGAACTGCTTGGTTAATGGTACTGAGGAATATATGGCGTTGTATTATAGCAAGCCTAAAGTTCACAAGAACTATCTGGGTAGGCCATGGAAGGAGTATTCTAGAACAGTTTTCATTCATTCATTATTGGAAGCCCTTATCACACCAGAGGGTTGGATGCCATGGAGTGGAGATTTTGCGTTGCAAACACTTTACTATGGCGAATTTGAGAACTCCGGACCTGGTTCTAATTTAGCTCAGAGGGTGCCCTGGAGCGACAAGGTCCCTGCCCAGCATGTGTTATCGTATTCCGTGCAGGGTTTCGTTCAAGGAGATGATTGGAATCGTGTTTCCAGTTATTAGGTCATATAAGGAGTGTTCTCTATAGCCATGAATAGGAGGCATCAATTAATGGGGAATTTTTCCACGTCCACTCTGAACTGCCAGTACAATGAAGTTGTCAAAAGCGACAGGGAGATATTCAAATGCTATGTCAGTTGTCCTGGCAGATCCTGAGGGTTGATCCTACTAGTTTATTTTTTTTGGGTTGGTCCTCCACAGAAAAGTTTTATATATTCTTTCTGCCTGATGGCACTGTTATAGAATCTTGATCTGATCCAAGTGAAAATAGTAGATTCCGCAAATCTCGGCTTTCGATGTAAGTAGGCAAAGAATATGGAAGGAAAAACCAATATAGGTAGAACAGAATGGCTATTATATGTTACACTAAGAAAATATTTGGTCAAGAACGGTGTCCTTCTCATTCAGATTGCTCATATAAATACAGTAATATTACAAGCTGTAACGTTGATTTTAACCCAATAAATTAGTTAAACTATCATATATACATTTATAACTAATTATGTTAAATAAAAGAATAACTGTTACAAATAATTGTGCAATCAATTCCATACAATTCTGTTTTCCATTAATTCTCATTAATTCTGTTGACATCCCCCCTCAAATTGATGCTGGTAAATCTACAAGCATCAATTTGCCAAGTAGAAAATTGTGTCGTTGACGTGTCAAGGATTTAGTAAAAATGTCAGCGATTTGAACAGATGTTGAGACGTGGTAGATTGATGACTCTTCGATCATAAGCTTCTCGAATAGAGTGACAATCAACCTCGATGTGTTTCGTCCGTTCATGGCAAACTGGGTTTGCTGCAATCTGTATGGCACTGGTGTTGTCAGCATGCAATGGAGTTGGTTGTTCTTGAGAGAATCCAAGCTCTGTAAGAAGACCACGCAGCCATATAATTTCAGAATAAGCGGCAAACATTGCGCGATATTCTGCTTCAGTGGATGACTTTGAGACTGAATCTTGTTTCTTACATTTCCATGAAATAGGAGCATTTCCTAAAAACATACACCAGCCGGTAGTAGATTTTCGGGTGTCTGGACATCCAGCCCAATCAGCATCACTATATGCTTGGAGTTGCATTGATAAACCAGTAGGAAAAAATAAACCACGCTTTGGAGTGCCAAGGAGATATCTAACGATTCGTTGTGTTGCTGAAAGATGGAAATGCCGTGGAGATTGCATGAACTTGCTTACTGTATGGACAGCAAAAGAAATATTTGGACGAGTGATAGTTACATAGATGAGACTTCCCACCAGCTTGCGATATTGAGTGGGATCATCTAGAAGGTCACATTCATCTCGTCTATATTTAACATTAACTTCTATGGGAGTGTCAACAGTGATTGCATTTGTGAGTCCAGCTAGCTGGACCAAGTCTTGAATATACTTTTGCTGATTTAGAAAAATGCCTTCATGATGATAATGCACCTCTAAACCCAAAAAATAAGTGAGTTGGCCTAACTTTTTCATATGGAAAGTTGAATGCAGTAGGTGTTTGATTCTTGAAATAGCATCTTGATCGGAGCCAGTTACCACAATGTCATCCACATAAACGAGAAGCACCACAATTCCTTGAGGAGTCCTTTGTAGGAAAAAAGATGGATCATACTGACTTTGAGTGAATTCAAAACCAAGTAATGTTGATCGAAACTTTTCAAACCATACTCTTGGTGCTTGTTTCAATCCATATAAAGATCGTTTTAGTTTGCAAACAGTATTAGGCGAAGGTGTAGGCATACCATTAGGAAGTTTGATGTAAACTTCCTCCTGAAGATCACCGTGAAGGAATGCGTTTTTGACATCCATTTGATGTAGCTGCCAAGATTGTGATGCAGCAAGAGCAAGAATAGTGCACACAGTTGTCATCTTGGCGACTGGGGCAAACGTCTCATCATAGTCTAGTCCATACTCTTGCTTATTTCCAAGCACAACTAGACGAGCCTTATAACGATCTATAGAGCCATCCGAACGCAACTTTATAGAGAACACAAACTTGCTTCCCAAAGGTTTAATAGATGATGGACATGGGACTATGTCCCATGTTTGATTTTCTTCCAAGGCGAGAAGTTCAGCTTCAATAGCTCGCTGCCAACATTCATTCTCCATGGCCTGTTTATAAGATGAAGGAATAGGAATAGAAGATAACGATGCTGTCATGGAAGTGATATACCTTTCTGGGGGCTTACGAACGCGTGAGCTGCGTCGTAGAGGAGCCGATTCTGGTTCTAGTTCTTCTACTGGACCAGCAGCCAAGGAATCATCTTGAGGGGGCCCATGAGAGTCAATTGGTTGAATGTGAGTGGTAGTACTACGTCTTTTGTATGTCAAGAGAGGTTTAGGAGATTGTTGACCTGCATGAGAGTTGGAAAACAATGGCAAAACAGAAATCGGAGAAGCAACATGATCATGATGTGATGCGAAAAAATATGTATGTTCTTGGAAGATGACATTTCTAGATACCCGAATTCTACGAAGGTTAGGATCATAACATAGAAAGCCCTTTTGATGAGGAGAATATCCAAGAAAAGCACATTGAACAGATTGTGCAGTGAGCTTGGTGCGTTCTTGTGGAGGAAGATGGACATAACACACACAACCGAAGATACGAAGAGTGGAGTAATTTGGTGGGTGACCATGTAACCGAGTGAATGGAGATTCATTACCTAATGATAGAGATGGCATTCTATTTATAAGATGGACTGCAGTGGAAAGAGCTTCACACCAAAAACGTGAAGGCACATGAGACTCAAATAAAAGGGTGCGAACAACATCTAGCAAATGGCGATTTTTTCTTTCCGCTACCCCATTTTGTTGTGGAGTTGAGGGGCATGACCTGTGAGATAAAATGCCATTGGATTGCAAAAATTCCTGAAATGAGTGTGACATGTATTCACCTCCATTATCAGAGCGAAATATTTTTATTTTTGATGAAAATTGGGTCTGAACATAAGCATGAAAAATTTTGAAAGTGGAAAAAACTTCATCTTTTGATCGCAAAAAATAGACCCAGGTGAAACGACTATAATCATCAATAAAAGTTACAAAATATTTGTAATTAGCATGAGATATAACTGGTGCCACCCCCCAAACATCACTATGGATGATATCAAAAGGTTGTGTTGTATGAGACTGATGAGTTGGAAAAGGCAGAATTTTACCCTTACCAAGCTTACAAGGAATACAATCAAAATGAACAACATTAAGAGATGGAGTGTGTTTATTTCCAAGAAAACCAGATTTTAGCAAGTCATGAAGTACATTTGCGTTTGGATGTCCAAGACGCTTATGCCACACTTGGTAATCAACAAAGGCAGAATTACAAGAAACTAAAGGCAAAGAAAGACTTGGAGGTAATGAGAAACGGATTGGGAAAAGACGTCCAACTTTAGGCCCCTTCGCGATGATCTTCCCTGAGTGTTGATCCTGCACAAGACAACCAGACTGTGAGAATTGTACTTGACAATCATTTTCGACTAATTGACCAACTGAAATTAGATTACTAGTGAGGCCAGGAGAGACAAAAACATGTGTGAAAGATGAAGAAATATCACCCGTGGCTGTGATAGGCAATTGATTTCCATCAGCGGTATGTATGTTGAGAGTGCCCAAATATTTTTTCACATTTGTAAGAAATTGAGCATTGTTGGTCATGTGGTTGGAAGCCCCCGAATCAAAGTACCAAGATGAAGAGGATTTACCTGAGATTCCTAAAGCAGAGAATGCTGAAATAATCATCTGTTGAACCATTTCAGGAGTCACAGTTGAAGTAGTAGCAAGAGGATTTGGTTGAACTGGTACTGCATTGACTGAATTGTCAGGAATAGATGAATCAATTGCGGCGGTAAAGGCAGTGACATTTCGCTTTGGTGGCCTTATTGTGCATTCCTTAAGAATATGTCCATGCTTTTTGCAGTAGTTGCAGAATTTTTTTGGGCAATTGGAAGCATAATGTCCAAATTGCTTGCAACAAAAACATTGAACAGCACTCATGTCATGACTTCTTGACTTCCCTCGTGCCACATATGCCATTGGAACAGTAGATGATTTTTGATCTGCAATGATGGACTGTGTATGGAGGCGTTGTTCTTCACGTAACAGATCATTGAAACACGCATCCAAAGATGGTACAAGGTCACGATGCATGAGATTGGACCGAATACCTTCAAAGTCAGATCTCAATTTCATAAGAAATTGATCTCGTTTAGTCGTTTCATAAATAGTTTGTACTGAACTTAGACCTTCAGAAGTTAAGTCTGCATAAACTATATCAGTGTACTCAGCCCAAAGATTCATGAATTGAGAGTAAAAATCAGAGATGGAGAGACTATCCTGTTGAAAGGAAGCTATGTCGTGCTTAAGCTGGAATCGTCGTGCAGTGTTCTTTTGACTGTAGACTTTTTTTAAGTAATTCCACATTTTGGCTGCTGTCTTGTAAGGACGAAGATTCAAAACAATGTTGGGGTCAACGGAACTAAGGACCCAGGCCATGACCTGAGCGTCTTTGACTACCCACTTGGCATGTTCTACCTTATCTTTGTCTTTGTCAGGGATTGGAGTGTTGCCATCAACATGACCCCACAAATCTTTTCCTGTAACGAATATCTCGAAATGGAATGACCAAGCTGAGTAGTTTTTGCCGTTAAGGCGAACCAACAAGACATCGTGCTTTTCGATAGACATGGAACTAGAGTAATCTAGACTGGGAACCGTGAACGTAGGCGAGGTTCTTGGATCGTAACCTAAGCTGATACCATGTTACACTAAGAAAATATTTGGCCAAGAACTGTGTCCTTCTCATTCAGATTACTCATATAAATACAGTAATATTACAAGCTGTAACGTTGATTTCAGCCCAATAAATCAGCTAAACTACCATATATACATTTATAGCTAATTATGTTAAATAAAAGAATAACTGTTACAAATAATTGTGCAATCAATCCCATACAATTCTGTTTTCCATTAATTCCCATTAATTCCGTTGACATTATAATGTTTAATCGTTTTCAATTTCTACAACTTTTGGTAGAACAATACCTAGTCGACCAACCGATCGCTTTTTCCATCACACTAGCGACTTAACAAAATGGCAACGATTTCCTTGAATATCAACGCTGCCCCTTTGCTCAAAGAAGTTAATTATTCCGCGTTTATGAGGTATCCATGTTCCCATTAGGACCTTGGCTTGTTGAACTAACGTGGAAGTTGCACTTAAAACGAGACTTGAAGTTGATCTCAATCAGTGGATGGAACACTTGGGGCCTTATGATATAGAAACTCCTTTGCTTTGTTTCCACATCATGTGAGATTATCGATGATAACCACGGTTTGGCCGTTGCGTACATCCTTAGTCCCTTAAATAAAGTGGATATGGCTAACCACTCCTTAGTCTGAAATGAGAAGACTCGCCCCTTCCCTTTTGTTATTTTTCGAATT